TTCCCAGCAGAGGAAAAGAAAGCACAATTGATATTTTACAAGGCCTTGCTTTTATCTCAGCAACAATATTATGTCAGTTTGGTCACTTATGTTCTAACAAAACTGATTTAAAGTGGAACAATTATAGAAGAAGGCCAACAGGATGACAAGAAGCTGGTATGGATGTAAGCACATGTGTATCAAAGTCTACCTTTAAAGCAAAGATTAGAGAAGGCTGGCTTTTCTAGTCTAGCTGAATGAAGGCTGACAATAAGATTGCTGTCTCTTTGTGCACTAGAAAAATAAACACTGGGGATGGAACGAGAGCTAAAGGTCAATACCAGCACAAATTGTCACAAGGACAAATGCACATAAGCTTGTCATGAATACACCCAGACCAGAAACTGAGGTTTTATAACAATAACAGAAACCAGGCATCAGGGCACTTCCTAACTGAAGAGCAAAGACAAAAATGAAGTTAACTTTTTAAACTGGAGTTTGACAGGTTTATGAAGAGGATTATGAATGTTTCCCTAAGAGAAAGCAGCATGAGAGTTGACAATTGAAGACATCCCTTCCAGTCCTATGTTCTTCTTGATGTCTTTGCCATGGTGATATTTAGAAAACAAAGCTACAAAACATCAACTCACTGGTTTTTAAGCACTAAAAATATCTGAAACCTCCAGGCTTTGAAAAGCACTCCATTAGCTGGGGAATGAGTTTCTGTAGTGTGAACTGATATGCTTATGGAAATATTCTGGTTTCATACATCTCTAAAATGTAGTTCTCAAGAAGTCATGGAGCAAATTCATTTAAACAATGATTGATTAACCAATCTAAATATGCAACACCTAATGAGGATTTCGTATCAAAGTCAAGTCCCAGATTTTAGGGCTTTTGCCATCAGAAGAAAACAAAGCTTTATTAGCTTTCAAAAAGCATATTCTTCCTATCCATCTCCTTAAAGAATGAAGGGATTTTGTTCAAACTTAAAAAAAACCCCAACCCCTAACTGGATAAGGACCAGACACAGCCCAAATGCTTAATGCTTCAGAAAGTAGGGAGTACATAGAACAAAAGCATTAATGGAAACCAGTTTGGAACTCTAAGTACAGAGGATGATATCTAGTGACTGCTATAATACTGAATCTGCACTGCCATTAAATTTAATCTTTGATATTTTTATTGCAATCTGACCCACTATGACATCTCTAAAGAAAATTACATTGTACACTACTATTTCAAGAAGTCAAACTTAGCTAGTCATCTGGGCCATAAAATAGCAGATTACTCCATCAGGCTGGCTAAAGCAACTAGGAATAAAACTAGATTTACCAACCACATTATTTTTATTAGGAAATGTTTCAAAGCAGACATAATCCCAAAAGACCTTAGCCTTATACCATCCAAAAATACAAAACAGAGAGGAGCAAAAACCATGAACTGCAGTATAAGGTACAATTTATGTAAATGAGAGAAAAAAATTTGCCAGATATTGTGTAATATCCTATCAAAGCAAAATATATTAACTAAATGTAGAAATAGAGAAGAATCAACTTCTACACAATTCATGTATTAACAATTTAAACCTTTGTTCTAAGATCTGACGTGTTAATAAGAATTGCTCCATTGACTCCCTGAACATCAATATTTAGTCTGTACTCCTTTTGCTTTCCTTGAAATTGCAAGCCAATATAGGTGTACTAAATCACAGCTAGAGAGCAAAATGTCCAGAACAGGCAGAAGGGAAAAAACCAGTATCTTTAACAGCAATATTCCTGAAGAACCCTGGTATGGTAGCACTGCTTGCATTTTATTTTGGATCACAGCCACAGAACAGCTAAAGCACAGCTTCTTCTGTAATCATTCTAAATGGGGGGAACTGCTCATAATAGTAACAGGAAAAAAAAGCAATGAATTTACTTGGCAATCTTAACACTTCTCAGCAATTCCTTGTACTGTCATGTTTTCTAACAGGTATTCATGCATACATAATATATAGGTCTTTGTAGATCTGGAATGAAGGAGAAGTAAGGGATTTGATAGCTAGAAAGGCAAGTTTTAAATTTTAAATACTGTCAAAGTAGGTTAGAAGTGTGATGCGTGTTTTATCATCTAACCAAGCATTCATGTCTTTCTGTTTTAACCTTTTTTTTTTCCTAGGCAATACGATCACCTTAGGCAGTTTGAGGTTTAAAGGCTTTAGCCCATGCAAAAAAAAAAAAAAAAAAAAAAAAAAATTTAAATTAGCCTGGCATTTTTAATCTTTTTTTAAGACTTGAACACTGTCTGTGTTTTACAGAGGTGGCTTTATTATGCTAGCTGCATCAAATGCAGAATATTAATCAGACTGTGAAGCTCCACTAATTATGTGCTACATTTAAATAACTCACATTTTGTTAAGTGGCACGACCACAGATATTGTATGCATAATCTGAGTTTTGAGTCATTTCCCTTTTCTTGTCTGATTTTATTCCACACAGGAAATGACAGGGTCATTTGAAAATAACTGCAGTGAAAGATCAAAAAGGAAACTTGATTGAGAACACTGTATAATTGCCTGTGCTAGAGAAAAAAAAATCCAATGACTTTACAACCCATCGCTATAAGATTTCTTTGGAAAACACAGACTGTGGTTTCCCTAAAAGGATATCCATTACAACACTGAGTACAGCTTTTATTTGTTGTAGCTGTATCTCTTTTAAAGCAGCAGATCTTCTCCTGAGGGTGCTGGGCTTTTACTCCGTAGGTAATTTTTTCGGTGCACATACTCGCTGAGCTAAAGCCATTTCAGTGGAAGCAAATCAATTCCGTTGAAGCAAGTAATTTCACTGACTCGTCTCAAAGTGTTCATTTGCAAAAGGAGATAATGCTGTAATTAAGCTCTTGGAACACTGCAGTTCTTGTTATTTGGGCAAATCTGGCCATTACAATTTAGAGTGTCCTGTTCCAAAAGAACAGGCTTTTATTGCTGGAGCTAAAGGAAAACTTCTTAGACATTAGCTGCACTCAGCTTAGAGTCAGGATCAGATCCAGCTTTGGGCTGTGGTGTGTCTGCAAGGGCATTTATTTTTTTAGTAAGACACTGGCCTACATAACAGGACAGTAGCCAAACTTTCAGCACATGGATTTCCCAGTTGATCTCCCATTCCCTGAGCAGATGCACTGCAGAGCAAGTGACCCCAGGTGTGTCCCTGCCACAGCCACACACACCAAACCACGGCAGCCCAAAAAACTGTTCATCTAAGGGACCGCAAAATAGAAGTAATGATCTCTTTTATGCATAAGAATTATTAAACAAAACAAAGTTACAGCAAAAGAACTTGAAGTCTATGCTGAGTTCACCTCTCCTCACATTTTAACACATAAAGCAAGTGCAAATAATGCCATAAATTTGTATGTCCAGCTTCAATACCTTAAACTTTTACTTATTGAAGAACAATGCATCACCCTATCAAAATGAACTCTTAACAGAATATAAGTATTGATTTTCTTGGGTGTTGGAGTGTAGTTGGACAAATTAAAAGCTCTCTGCCATGTAGCTCAGAATACAAAACAGATGGATTGAAGTGAAGTGGCACCATAGGTAAGAGAAGGCCATAAAGGAGTTACAGTTAAAGATTGTCATGCAGGGCTTTGTGACAGTTGTAGCTGCAGACAGCACTTGTTGCTTGGACAGATCATCACTGAAGTCATTCCCTGAAATCCACTCCTACCATTGCCCAGAGGTGCTGGTACCCTCAGCAGAGGTGGTGCTCCCCCAGAGTCTCCCAGGGCAAGCCCGGTCCTGTGGCTGGGACTGCGCATGATGATCTCACCCACCCAGAAAGGTGACTTCAGAAAACACAAACACATTTCCTTAAAGCTAGTCTGAAACCTTCTAAGATTCATGATTCAAGTTTACACAAGAATTACTTAATCAAAGCCCCATTAAAATCGATTTTATCAATAAAGAAGTGCTAACCACCCATTGATCTGATTACCTAACACAAAACCCCCACCCTAACATAGTAATGCTGAAGTCCTGCTCCACCTTTGTATTGACAGTTTTGTCACCAATTTCATCACAGTTGGAATTTTAACCCACCTTGCAAATGACAAGAATAATTTCCAAATATTTGTATCCATGTCAAGAAAAGTAATTTTATAATATGGCTACTTAAAAGCAACATGGAAAGCAATTATCCCACATCACCAGAGTCAAAATACCAGCTGAAAGCGTAAAGGAATTTTTCCAGTGCGCTAATTTTAACTTCACTGTGTACTGATAAGCTAAAATATAAGTATCAGCAAAAATAATACACTACTGTGCCCCTCTGGGTCATCAGTTGGTTCCTAATAAAAATTTAAAATGGAAATATTTTTTAATGTATAATAACAAATATCCTCAAAAGCTAAAGGAAGGTTTATTTGATTAATTGAATCCGTCCATTTGATTAAAGGCCATGTTTTGCATCAACACATTCTTACGTAGTTTTTCACACGTAAGTTAGAACACATCACAAAGCTCATTGTGATGCCAGCTCACTATTGTTAACTGAATTATTTCAAAATGCTCAGTTTCTAGTTTGTTTCTTTCTGTATAGTCAGTATAATTAACTCTTGGTGGCTACAGAAGCACGTACAGAACTCTGTACATGCACAGATGTCTATGAGGACTGTGGCCAGACCAGCGTGGCACAGAGCATTTTCTGATTTTGATTGCTGATTTTAAAGCAGAGTCAGACTCACGTTGCTAATTCAAATTACATGCATCAACTTACAAATACCTACACAAAAGTGTTCCTGATTTAACACAACTAACGACTTAACCAAGCAATGCATTTACACTTTTTTGAGATCCCAAATTAATTTTGAATATGAGGATCAAAACATCTTAACTTGCACTCTTTAATCAGCCGTTTTACGTTAGTAATGCAGGGATGTTGACATGAAGTTGCTTTGAGCAATATAAAACATATGCCATGGTGCACTCGTTAAGGAACTCTGCATAATGAGTTCCATCTATATAAATGACTCACCTCATTACTTAGCACAAGATCTTCTCTACGAACGTGGAAAAGGTATTCATAGGCTTTATAGTATTGGAATAAGCTGAAAAACAACATAACATAGACTATCAGAGCTGTAAGTTTTTGGAAAGGTAACAATATTACAAGTTTTCTTAAACTAAGAGGTACCCTCCAGCATGGTAACAGTCCAAATTTTAAAAAGAAACAGTTGTTTAACTTCAAAACCAACAAGCAGCATATTCAGTTTGCAGGATTTATTATCAGATGGCTGTGGAAAATACAGCGTGATACTTAAAAATACATCCACTTAGTCCTTATGAAATTGAACTCCGAGAAGACAAAGTTCTCCCCTGAAAAAAGTAATTCCTGAAACACTTATCATCAGGATACTTATGCCTTTATTATCAGCAATAGCAGACAAGAAGGAAACAAAGCCAAATCAGCTTTCAGATTCTGGGATGGGCTGCCAGGACAGGGAGAAAGTTTGGTCTTGGAACACCAAAACAATAAAGAATAGAAGTATTTATTCTCTCAAGGTCACTTTGCAAAATCAGCGTAGTATTTCCTCAAAGAAAAACTAAAAAACTAGATTAACACACAGCAGTTTTGTGTACTACAACAAAAGCAACTTTAAATAGACTTTGTCAATGGACTAAAATATTCCTTCCTTAACATGTATGGCTTTCCATTTCACATGTTTCAAATAATTTTGTTTCCTTTTCTAATGATCAATGATACAGCATTTGTTTAACCAAAAGTTTTGTTTGTCATAGTCTGTTACAATTAGTTCTTCTCTTACAAACATGATACAGAACTCCTGGCTTCTGTCACATCATTTTGACATATGATTTCAAATGTTGCTCTGTGATTTCATACCAAGTCCAGGCTGAAGAAGGATTCCAGGAATTTATTGCTGTCCTGCCTGCTGTATCCATGAAAGGTACGGCAATATTTGCAGGAAACCTCTGTAACTGGTTCCTGTGCTTTCTGCCTAGGGACAGAACCCAAGTTCTTTTCCTGGGACCCCCATCAGTTGGGTCAGCAATACCTTTGGCTCGGTACTGGCAAGGCCCACGTAAGAAGTCTGGCTGCCCTCAGCTGGAGGCTGCCTTCCCCCAAAGCCAAAGCACACAGGCAATTAATTAAGTTCTTACAGTATTTCCAATTTCATTTAAGCACATTTTTATTGCAGCACTTCACCAAAGAATTCCTGACATGTTTCAGTGGAAACATAGAAATTATGTTTAAAGAGAGTTCAGGACTTAACCTGGAAATGACTCACACTGATTTATGTAAATATGTGTCCCCTTTCATACACACCTGTAATTTGGTAAAATTCTAACAGGGATTATTTGAAAAAAGACAAAAAATATTTTATGAACATCCTAGACACACAGGGAATAAGACATATATCCTTCTAATTGGATTGGCAGAAATTAGTATTTCAAATTTGTTCTCTTATCCTAGTGTTTTTGAAATAAGCCAGATTTGCAGCACCTAAAAGTCAGGTCTTTTCTTTCCCCTCCCCTCCAAATGTGTTATGATATTGTTCATGGACTATGCTACAGGTTCATATAATTTAAAATATATACCCAAATGCATAAGTAATAATTTCTGGCATTTCTGAATTTTATGTCTTTATTTTTAAAAATTTCTCTATGCAACCTGGCACCCCTAATCCTGTATGAAGGAAAAAATTTCTCCATTTAATGGTCTTGAAATCAAATTACATAAATCAGACATCAGCATTTATTTAGAAAAACAGTGTAATTTTCTTTCTTCTATCAGACATTACACAAAATGCCCCTTTTTGTTTCAATTTGCTGTGAACAATTTAAAAATTCCATACCAGTTTTTCTAGCAATTACCCAGAAAAAATTTTACTTGTGTAAGTAATATTGTTAATAATAGGCCCTCTTATGATGTCATATGAGAATCTGAAGGTGATTAACAATGACATATTTCCCCAGCTCCACTGCTTCCTGAAAAGAAAATGTCAGGAGCTACGTTGATGTGTGTTTGCCCAAGGAGACAAGATAAAAAGATGATAACTGTCACCTTCCACCAGACCTGAAGGTGTCATTATAGTTGCTGTACAGTTTGTGCCAATGTGGTTAAGCATTTGTCCCTGTTTCCATTATAAATCCCATGGGTTTACAGCTCATCTGTAAAAATGTGATCTGAACTACAACATGTCACACTGTCTTGAGTAGAAAAAAAGCTACAGGCTTATCATTTAAAATTAAACAAGAAAAAAAATGTATTGAACTAATACATTAATTTGAATTGTAATAAAACTCAAACTATTTCTGAGTTAATAAAGTTTAAAATACACCCATTTAAGTGTGCAAATTCCATTCTTATTCAGAAAAAAAATCCAGTAACTGAAATTATGGATGGCATAAACTGGACACATATGATACATTTTACTGTATGTGTGTACATCCATGGCATCGCCACAGCACCCATTTGTAATAAATTAAGCAGTTTGGACATAAACCCATATCTGGTGGCCAAAATACCATTCTGCTGCAAAAGTTTTGCAGCTTGATTGTATTTCTGCCCAGCTAATACTTTGGTTCAAAGTAGGATGGAGCACCTAATCTCTTGGATGAAATTCTTCCGACTGTGAAGGAATTACTTCATGGACAAGATATCTCTCAATGGATAATTTACACAAGAGTTATAGATGTGCTATTTGGAATGAACATTTGTTCCATATAAATACACAAAAGACAGACAGGAAGGCAGAAATAAAAGGAGTTGAGACATCTTAAATGCCAAGTTTCCTTTTAGTTTAGGGTTAGTACTTGGCAGGACATTATTTTGCCTGACTACAGAAATTTGAGATTTAAAGAGATGTTCCCATTTCTTATGAGAAGAATCTTAAGTGTTTTATATTTTCCATGAGAAAGAAACAAAAGAAAAAAATCAGAGAGTAGGAGAAAGAGACATATTTTATAGCCCGATTGTAAGAGAAATTACATTTAATGGGTTTTAAACCCCTGCAATGGGTTTAAATCCCCCTTTAAATCCAAGTACTACAAACTGGAAGGCTAATGGCTACCCTAGTATTTTGCCTACCCTCAAGAGAAAATACTTTTCTGCATTCAGGAAAACATCCTAAAAACTCCCACCTTGCTGTGTTACATTTTTCCTACAGAAAAGTCAGAAAATTCCCAGCAAATCTAGATATGGATCAGCCATGACCTTACTAAATTTTAATGTCCATCTGCTGCAAATCCCTCCACCCCCACTTGGGTCAGAAAATGGGCTGAAGGGCTACAGCTGCAGTACAGTGGATGAGCATATACTACAGGAGTAACTTATTTATTTTCCATCTCCTTGCCCCTGACACTGATGAATGGTTGAACAGCTTGAGAACCATTGTGTCCATCACGTACTGCCAACAGGGGTATGTCAGTGCAGCCGCTGCCTGAACCACAGCAGTGCAGTGGAAATGGGGTGTACACAGGGCTATACAGTCACAACTTTGTACAGGGCCGTTACTGGTGCTATCAGACTCAGCATTTTTCTCAAATAAATAATGAATGTACAGCTGTTTGCATCTCTTTCTGTGTCTCTGTTTAAAAGCTGAGACCTGCCACAAAGCCTTTTCACGTACATACTGGACTTTTGCTGATTTTGAAATGCAACATTTTTATGACTCCTATATGACCAGAACCTCAATTCTGTAAGTAAAAAACTTTAAATCACTTCAGTCCACAATAACTGTCAAGGCTATACAAATACTTAGAGTAACAGAATCAAGATAAGATCTAAATAAGATAAATAAGATCTACAATTTTATTCAGATGGAATCTAAAAGTAGCTCTTAAAAGCAAAACAAGATTATTGCCCATGCATCACTTTGTTTTCTTTTAGCACATCAAACAAAACCCTAAAGGAATATTTTCAGCATAATCTTATATTTTTATAAACTTCCAGTCCAAATTTTTTTTTGGACTTTCACATCTGAGGCCAGATCTTTACTGCTCCTTGCATATTTATTTTTTTCATCATTTAAAGTTTGGTGTTTGCAGTGTGTTGGCACAGTAGGAGGATATCCAGTAAAATAAGAGCAAAATACTACTAGTAGTAGTGTAAATGTAATAATAATTTTAAAATTGTTCATGTTGTTGTTCTTATTATTGCTGTTATTTTATCAGTCATTTTCTCACTATATTAGATTAATGAAATAAAAACAGATTCTGTAGAAATAAATACCTGGAAAACAAGAAATCAATGATTGCTTTGCCTTGGTCAACGCTGAATAAATTCACGTCACCTCCTTCTTCTGACTCAGTTTCTCTTATTCCAGTCACTGCTTTTTCAAGTTCTTTTACGTTGTCTCCAAAGCTCATACGTCTGACTGCAAAGTAATCCCAAAGAACAAAAACCATGTATAAACACGACAAGGAGGGATGGGAGTTTTTGGTCCATTTTAATTATAAGACTTCTTGAAGTTTTAGTTATGATCTACCACTGAAAAGCCAACAGCAGTCAAATGCTTCTATTGCCATTATTCTCATCCCTAAAGTGTCCATTAAAATTCCACTAAAAAACCACCACTCTGCCTTCATAATGGAAGGATCACAATAATGGGTGTTCAAGATACTACAGCTTCACCTTACCTGTGCTGAGAGAACCACAGGCAGAATAACATGCAAATTTGAGAGGCAGGGTATGTTTTTCTTTAAAATAGACTACTTCTTACGAATTGTAAAAGATTATTCTTCTGACCATGCCCCTTGCAACATAAGCCATTAATACAGGAACAGATATTAAAAAGGGCAAAGAATATTTTAAAGTGTTTACAGTCATAACAGATTAAACATATGCATAAGACCCTGCATGCATCATCAAACTTAGAGACATTTTTGCATCTTTCCAAACCAGATAATTACTTTATATTTTTACCCTGGAAATCAAAACCAAATGCCACAACAGGTTGGAATTAGAATTTAAATTCTGTTTGACAACTGTCCTTACAAAGAGGACAATCTGAAATTATCAGTGCTTGCTGAACCCATAAAAAGAAAGGATTCATCTTTATGATTTGCACACAGTGTCTGCCATCACTAGTACCATGGGAAGTTAAAAATAAAAAAGCTTCAAATACAATTTATTCTTTTCTTTTATGTCTAAAAAAATCTACAGAAAAAATGGGGAAATATCCACCAGTGGTGAAATAGATTTATTTTCCTCATTGTTTTATGTCTCTACTGATATACTCCTTGGGTTTTTTGTACAGAAAGCAAATTAAAATACTTAGAAGCTTTCTTTACTTTTATAGTTTTGCCCTTTAGTGGTACAGTAATCAAAGGCTTGAAAATTCCACCTCACTTTTCAGTAAGAGAGGCAGCACAATATAAATAACCGTATGGGAAGGGACGAGAAAGAAACAAAGAGAATGCAAAGGAAACAGAAGCCATAGGAAATGAGGAAAAGCAACAGAACCAGAAATATACTTGTAGGGAAGTGAAGGCACATAACAGATCACCCAGGCCCTGAGTCTGTTGCCAACTCATCCAAATTTTCTTTCCTCTGCACACCTGATTTTCAGTCCCAACCACCAGTCTCGGGACTCATGCAGCACTTGTGTGAGGTAAGGAGTACTTTACCCTCGATGGATAGAAGAGAATCAAATCATGTAACTCATTCTGACTCCCTATCAAGCAAAGCCTCCAGTTTTCCTTGCTGCTTTACCTGCCTTAAATGCATTTCCATTACCCTCCTTCTCTAAATCCATTCTTTCTGCTCAATGCTACTCTTGCCATTATGCCCAAGTCAGTTTAATTCTCCAGGCTCACTGGGTCCAGTGCAGGGAAAAGAAAAGAAAGTCATCAATATAAAAGACGTTAGAATTTTGCTTTCAGTTGAAATGTTTGGTAATTACAAGAAAATTCATCTCAGCCCTGGGCTGTGAAGCAAACATAAGAAGTTTCCTGCAAGCATTTAAAAACTACATTTACTTTCTCTAAAAACCATGTATATCTTAGCCAAATCTTAATGGATTTTCACAGGACAGCAAAAAGCAAATTCACAATATTTGCTTGCCAAATCTTTATCTTTACTTCAAAGCACCCAGGCATTTGACCTCTTAAAAAAAAAAAAAAAAAAGACACAAAATAGTTGGGTTGTTTTTTTTTTTTCCCCACAGCCTCTGTCTGCAAGCCCACTGAACTATTTCACTTGCAATTTTATATATAAAAATTCACCAAATGCAGACACGGCCATGGAAAATTTCTTAAGCTTAAAGACTTAAAAGTTTGGCAAAGCTTAATGTAACTAAGATGACATTCCTGAAAAAGGTCAGTCAGTTTTAATAATGGTTGTGCTACCAGCCTGTTGTGTACACATGTATTACATGGTCTCATAAAGCTGATTTCTGTTGGGTTCCCATTCTGCTCCATTGTTATAGTAACATAGTTAGCATATGTTAAGATACTTTCTCACTGGAGACAGGAAGGACAACTGGAATTCCAATGATCATAAAGCACGTACATATTCTGTCAAAATTCCAAGTCAGAAAGGCCCTTGAACTAAATTACAGTGAACAAGTATAATAAATGTTATGAGTTTGATTTTAAAATATTTGCCTTCTCTTTTGAATGAAACTGCTGAGTCCTTTCACTCTTCCTCTGGGATGGACTTTTCTGAACATAATCACCTTCAAAGTGAATGTTAAACAAGCATTAGAATCTCTAAGAAAGAAGGTTTTAGAGGACAGTGCTACCATTTTTTTCTGGCTATTTCATTCCCACTAGACCAAGCTTCATGCTTTGTGGCAAACTTCCTCATAGCCACAGGAGCTACAGTCCTTTGTCATTTTCATCTTCAGCAGCAATACCAGTTTACTTCCCTCACCAGTCCTTAGTTAACATAGATTCTGTGCCAGAAGTGCAGCATTTGCCATACAGGAAGCTGAGAGTTGACCTCTGAGGATAAAAAAAATGTAATTCACCTGCTATAATGCTACTGGACATAGGATGTACTGAATATCTCAAACAGCAGAGAAATGTGCCCAAGGCTACAGTGAGTCAGTCACTGAGAAAGCTGGAATTGGAATTTAGGAGCTCCTTGCTCTCTCTCTCTACTGTAATTATTATTTATTTTACCATAGCAAAGAAAAGGTTTCTTCAGGACTTGGGCCATTTGTACGACATATTGTACAAACAAAGAATGAGGAATATTCTACTCAAAAGACTTGAGATCTGCCAGTAAGAATTATTTTTAGGTACAAGGTTTAACACAGCAACATTCAAGAGGAAAGTAAATAATTTCACAATTACATGTAATTAAATATCACTTTATTAAAATGACTGGGAAACATTCTTGCCTTCCACTTCAGATATTTATTTTACAATTCTTAATTATACTTACTGCTGAGGTTCTCCAAGGCGAAATTTAATAGACCCATGAATCCTGAGGTCTGGATAAGACTGAAGTTCATTTCTTTAGCCCACCAAAATCCTGCAGTATAATACTCGAATAAAATAGTTTCTTTCAAAGATGTCTTTAGTTGTGTAAGATTCAGAAATTCTGCCATCTTCCTAAAAAAGTTGCAGAGTAAAACAATGAAATTAAAAAAATAAATTACAGATTCCAAAGTCTTACTTGGCCTGCATGCAGTTATAACCATAACATCTGTTTAGTTGCTATATTATTCATATGTACATAATTTCTTGAATTTAGCTATATCAATTCCTAGATTGCATTTATGATCAGAGGACATATCAAAAAGTAAACAATTACCTGCAGGTTTCACCAAAAACTACTGAAGTGTTAAGATATGACTGACAAAAGAACAAAAATCAGTGCATTACAAAACCAGAGAAATACATTGAAAATTCCAGAGAAAAAAAGTGTCTCATCAGGAATTGGTTTGTGGGATGAAATGACACAATTAGTCTCCACTTTCCACTATCATGTTTTCACTCTGATTTAGATAGTTTTACAGTAGTAATAAGGTCTTGTTTACATTTCAAGATTATTTTTCATGTGGCCTCTGATGAAAAATTACATCTGAAAATTAATGCAAATAATATAATACATAATTATTGAAAGTAGCTAAAATATTTAGAAGCTTAAATTGCACTTCCATAATGGTCAAAACATTTAAAAGGAGCCTTATCCCATTTTACTGGCACACCATGAAAATTTTTCCACTCACTTTAACTTGCAAAATTTATGAAAAAATACACTCCCTTGTAGGAGGCCATACTGTTGCTGACACATTTATGTCTACTCTATCCAAACACAGAATTAGTTACATCTTTTATAATAACTGTGTGCTTTTTTCCACATGAAGAGAGGGGACTGTGGCTAGGACTCGGTTTCAATTCTTCCAGTGTAACTTTGGCCATGTCTCAGGTACTTAAGTTTTACATTAAAGCAATCCTTGGCTTCTTAACTACAGCTGAGGACACAGGTGCCAGTGATCAGAGTTTCTACTCCTGTGTGAAAAAGCAAGGTCTTCCCCAGCCCTGCTGCCTTCTCATTCCTTCATAAGGAGGACATTAATCCCAGACCTACTGATTGCAGCCATTAGAGTTTCAGGGCTTTACCTGACACAGTACAGATATGCTGTCAAAAGAGATGAGTTTCTTTAATTAAAGCCTCAATAGCTAACAGAGTAAAGCATATAATCCAATCAGTTTTGTTTAAAACATGTATTCCTTTGTTCTGCATGACAAATTTGTACAGCTGCACACATGCAAGTTGGTTAAAAACACTTAACTTGTGTCCTGGAATAGAAGTGGAACATGGCCAGCTGAACTTTCCAAGGTTTGAAACAGTCCATATCCTCTCTCTCTGAAGCTTCTGCCAACTCTGTGTTTTCATAATCAGAGCTTCTCAGGGATTTAGATTTTCTCTGATTCTGCTAACAATGCCAGTGCTCATCTTTCCAATATTCTGTAAGGCATGTCACTGACAACAGGATCTTTACATGCTTGTGAAATGATGGGGCAGTTCGATTCCATAGTTACCCTCCCTGCTTTTTCTTTCTTCACAGGGCTCAAGTCTTACCAAGATGGACAGCAGTACAAAACTGCCTGATAGATGGGAATGCAGAATATCAAAACTATCAGACTCAGATCTATTCTGATTTTCTAACCCTAGCTGTGGCCCTCAAACTGCTCTTGTAAATAGACACAATGCACTCTGGTAAACAAATCTTCAATGCTGCTGTTAAACTGCTTAGTGTGCATAACATACCCTGTAACTATGCTCCTTCCAGTCAGATGCAGTATATACTTTACATTCCCCTTGTACAGCATGTATATATAAATACATATGTGATCAGCTGAGACTAAAAGAGCACATGATCTTTCAGTGCTTTTCTTTTTAATCTTGATGAGCAAGTTGCACAAAGAATTGTGCATATTAAGCACATTTTAGTCTCCATGAGTTGTACACTTTAGTCTCCTCTAAATTTAAAGAGGCCTATTGTGCAAGAGAAAACAGGAAAGGAAAGCATTTTTTCTATTATTATTTGATGGTCGCAAATTTTCTTTCCAGTTTTTAAAAAAAAAAAATCCCAGAAAAACCTTCTCTCCCTAGAATAGTGACAAATAGGAAGAACAGAATATGTTTCAGGAATATTTTAATCTCTATTAAATGGTTACCTATTCAGAGGAACAAAGCTGGATTTTATACACTCCCCACCTCTTCCTTCCCAAACCAGACCAGCGGCCCAGCCCTTTGGCTTTCAATTCCCTAAGAACCTGCTAGTAGACACAAACGCTCCTAAATAATTCTTGCACTTCTCAGAAGTCCCATCTGTCAAATATAAATCTGGAGTCTCAGGTCAAACTTCTGGCCTCCTAAATTTAGCTGCTATTAAACACTAATAACAAGGGAGAGTGTTGGTACAGGAAAGACAAAGGCAGCCTGACATCAGAAGTCTTTGGCTGCCTCCCATTTCCCCAGAGCACCATAATGGCGACCTACTAATGCCTTCTCAAGCTTTCCATCCCTTGCTGAACTTTCAAGACCTTTTTGATTTTTTGGTAACTCCTGTTACAGTTCAGAATCTTGAGTGTTTTAGCCAAAAAGGTTACTCAGAGAAATTTACCAAAAAAAAGCTCAGTATCAGCCTGTTCTTATTTTGTGTTTTGTTTACAGCGTATTTAAAGCTATTGTAAATTCAGAAACAATGACAAGGTGAAATTCAAGTGGAAAAAAAGGAGTCTAAGCAAAATTAAAAGATATAGGAAAACCAGTAAACCAGGCTGGATCTGAGATCAAAAGTGTTTCTGCCATCTTTGATGAGTAATATTAAATACCAATGATTTAACTGAACAATTAAAGACTAATGACATAACCATCACAAAAGAAATCTAACAGTCTACAATTTTTATTTCATTATTATATGGGTTCCAGCATTGCTGTCACTGCTACTTACTTTTCAACTCCTTCCACATCTTCTTCTGACAAGGCAGTTACTTGGGAAAGAGAAAGAAATGTTCTATTGATAATCTTTGCTCCACCTAAATCACCCTGATCTCGGACTTCATCCTGATCGTGGACTTCATCCTGATCTCGGAATTCATCCTGCATACATGTACATAGGAATGTAATTTTAAAAATGTTTATTTTATTATGTCACTAACTTATCCAAATAACATTTTTATATTGAGGAGGTATGCAAGGGATTAATTCAACAAATGCCAAAAATGCAAGACAGCTGTAATTATACAGCAGTAACACAATACCTTAACACATTCTCACCAGAGAAAAGCTGGGCAGATACATGGAACATAGTATTTTTGTCATAAATTCATATGGGAACACACTGACATATGTGCTGCACAAGATTAAATTAACTTGCAACTAAAAACAACAGAGATTTAAAGGTGCAAAAGAATCCATGAATCTAAATTTGACCAACATGATACTGTGTTGCACAATAATTAAATTTTAAAATTAACTTTCTCCTAAACATATTATGAGAATACACGAAAATTACTATGTTATTTGCTCTCCACCATGTACTTGACTGCATTTTCAAATTTACTGTCTACACTATCTCCTTCCCCTAGCCAAACAAAAGTCCAAGATATTTGCTGCAACAGAATAATAAGGATCTGACACTACTGTTCCTAGGAAGGATGGACATGTTTTAGGGAAGAACAAACTGAGCATGAACTAACAATGCAATGGTCTTCATAAAAGCAGGAAAATTCAGTGAGAAATCTATGAAATGCAAAAATCAGTAGAAAAAATCCCCTAAAATGGTTTCACAATAGAATATGTAGATGACAAAGTGAGGTGTGAGATGAAGCAGCCCCATCAGAGAGGAGCACTGCAGGGGAAAAACGGACAGTGGTCATGGGACCGTGCTCCAGTGGAAGGGGATCCACAATGGGGCAGCATAAAGAAAAATATTTCAGTATGAAAATATTTCATACCTAGAATAGATAACCCAGAAAGGCAGAGGAATCTCCATCCTCGCAGGCTTTCAAGAACAAACTGGACAAAGCCCTGCTGGGCACTGGGTGCTGGCCCAGCTCTCATCAAGAGTGAACCAGCCCCAAAATGCCTCCCAGCCTCCTGCTCGAGTCTGCCTGGCCTGACCACACAAACCCCTGGCACAATTTATTTGCAGTAGGTACACTTGTACATCTTCAGGATCTGGGGTTTAGAGAAGTGCAGCAAGGCAGAGCCTGCAGAATCCTGCTCCAGCTCATGCAGGGAAAGCACACACACCGATTTTTGAGCCTGACCAGCACTGCTCTGAGCTGACACCAACTCACTCCAGCGCCGGACAAGGAGAGCCCCCAAGTAAAGCTACACTACTCCCCCTGCTGCTGCTGAGCTACAAGATGTACTGAAATCCTGGACTAGCTGAAGAACCACCACACACAGGAGGGACAAAACCAGACTGAGAGCAACAAAGAACATTCATTCAGCGGACAGACTATTTTCTCCTCTCTATTTAAGTACTTGAGTACTTTCACATATACCTCAATAAGAAAAATTATTGTTCCCAACTGTAAACAAGTCAATCTCAGATACACTATCTCATAAGAATAGGAATGAAATAAATGAAGGCTTCCTTCACATAGTTAAAAGCATGATGGTAGTTTGCTTTTATTAGCAGTAATTTAAACAGCATAAAAAATATTCCTACAGTCAGTAATGCTGCTATAATTGAAGCTGCAGGGAAAAAAAAACAGCACTACCTGCTAATATAAAATTATCGAAAGACATATTTCAGTACGAAGAAAAAATATAAACTCTTTCCTGCAGTGTTAGAAACCTGTTGAATAGGAGATTCTTTAGAAGCTGTGGGGGCTGAATTAAATGAATAACTGATATTAATCTTTTGGAAACTGAATTAATGCTCCTCCCTCACTTTCTCTTAGGATGTTCAATACGTAGAATACTTTATTATTTACAGTGACCACCACTATATAAATTACATATGACTGGTCAGTCAACATTTTACTGGGCACAATTGTTAGTAAGGCAAAATGCTAATATTTTACAAGCTGCAGTTTAAACTGAAGAGATTGGCAGCTGCTGTAACTCACTCAGAGTTCCAGATAAGGCTCCCTAATCTGCACATCACACCAGAACAGTTTGCAGGGCAAGGTGAATGCTTCCCAAGGTCCATTTCATCACCTGGGGGCTGGAACAGCATTCCCAGCAGCAACATTCCCACCAACGCATTACTGGTTTTGGTAATGCTCATGGTAAGATGGGGTTTGGGCACCACTGTCCACCATAACAAGCACAGGTATCAGATAAGAGACAGTGTCACAAATGACAGATGAGGAACTATGGGACAGAAAGCACATGATTTAAATTTTTTTAAAATCAGCAATGTTTCTGTAATTTAAGAAAGTATTGAAGGTCCATAAATAATTTAAACAATCCTGTGTTTATAGACAGTTTCTGTTTGGGCTGAACCTACACACACACCTGACTAAAAGCTTACAATTATTTTGATTGATTACTTTTATCTCTTTAACCACTACTAAAAGTACCAGGAGAGTTTTTTTCTTATGTGTTCATTGGTGCCAAAGAATTTACTGTTCATTTTAGTATTAACTGCAGTGACTGACTGAGGTAATCCAAGGTGAGTTAATTCTAGTAATGCTGTTCATGTGTCAGGAAAAAAAATCTATCAATCCTACCAATGCCCACTCCCAACAGCAGAGTGCCTGTTTAAATACAGGCTGCTAGTAGAGAATTATTTGTTACGGTTTTATTTTCCTTTGAAGGATTTTTAACTGTTCTGAATGCATAATATGTTTCTGGCTGTTCAATACATTGCTCCAAATGCTGTGGGCATCCCTTGTTAACAGCATCAAATCAAAATACCAAACCAGACATTCTAAAACAAAAAGTAAGATCTTTCTGAATCTCTCAGTCTCTCTTCACTACCATGAAGCAGGAAATAGCAGCAGTAGACCAATAAACAGCAAATTGCAAAAAAGCTCAATGTTTACAGGGGTGGGAAAGAACTCTCAAAAGCTCAAACCTGCACTGAGTCACCCCTGGCTCAGAAAAAAGCCCCACTACGTGGGGTGTTGGTGAGGGCCTTTCCAGAGTGGCCAAAGCCTGAAACACAGCAACTGAAATGAGCACCAGCATTCCTCAAGAAAAATAAGCCTGTCCTTTGGGACGAGCCTTCTGCAGTGGTTGAAGACAGCGTTTGCATTTGTTTGACAATACACCACCATGCTTTGCAAAATGGCTTCCAAACACATAATACACAAGGAACAGCAAATCTCGCCAAGTGTAGCAAATACTCAAAGCAAAGGAACCCAAGATCCTGCTGTCCTCACCCTAGCAGGGAAATCAGACTGGACTCAGCTTTCCAGTAGCTCATGAAAAGCAAGCTCAGCTGCTCTGCCTGGGCTGACAGCAGAGCAGATGTACCCTGGAAGAGCACTGTATATCAGTTACAACTTTAATCAAAATGGGAATGAAAAAAACCCAACCAAACTACACCAGCAACACAGGCTGTTATTTGTATTATTATACACATTTTGTTATCAAGCTGTCAAATGCTTCAGTAGCAGCAGAAAATCCTGACGCTTTCTACACAAATAGTTAAGGCAGAAACAGAAACACATTCACTGTTCCTGTTTGTTTTTAAAAGGCCCCACTTGTCCGCTCCCACAATGGGAAGTTAAGATCAATAGTTGCTATTTTTAATCATAAACATTTCTTTTGTCATCAAACAAATGAGGAAATAAAAATAGCAGCACTCATTTCAACTACCTTCAAAAGGGAAATATGCAGATGTGTCAAATGCAAAACACAAAACCTATAGGCAAAGAAAGCTTTCAAGGAACACTATAAACATGATAGTGTCCTTTTAATAACAAAATATGTTTCAAAAATGTCACAGTCCATATATCATGATTTATGGTTGACCAAACGTATGATGACAATAAATTTTACTGATGTTTTCACAGCTGCAGACCACTTATGAGAAAAATGTGGTTAAAAATAAAGCAGCAGCAAGACTTGATAAGATCAGTATTCAGATTTTCTAACACACTTTCTGCTGAAAGTCATTACAAGCTGTAACAATTATAAAAATATTCAATTTAAATAAAAGGAATCGTCTCAAAATGTAAGAAATTATATAAAGAAACACTACCAAAACAGTGATTCCTACACCTTATATATGGACCATGCTAAGCTACCTTCAGCCAAAACTAGGGACTATAGAATCATAAAAACACACAATTCCACATGGTTTCCAATAAAAACAAATCATAAAGGATAGACAGAAATATCACAAAGGTAAGCTACTGTGTGTAGAACAAACTTCAATATATGAGGAACAGAAAACAGGTGGAAAAAAAAAGTTTACTGAATTCCTCTAAAGATTCTTTTTATAAAGCCAAGAAGTAAAATCTACAAAAATTTCAATGGTACATTTCAACCAGATGTACAATATATTTCTGACAGCCTGTCGTGTCCCATAGAGCACAGCCTGTATCCTTTTACTGCGATCTGACTGCATCACCCCAGTGTTACGCTGCTCCAACTGCCAAAATATTTACAGAGAGCGCTAACGGAGCTCTGTGAAAGGTACATATATTTTTCATAAAGCATTTAGAATACTTAGCAACACATTTCACTTGGAAGAGGGTTTATTTATTTAAGGAAACCTAAATGGTGAGCTTTTGTACTGACAAAGACACAACCATGACACGGCTGAAGGCGCTTAATCACTCCCACAACAGTCACGGCGACTTTTGGCCAGTGGAGACAACAAAGCAGCTCAAGCAGAAGAAAATTATCTTATAGTAGCTACAACTACATAGACAGGCTTGAGGGAGAAATTCTGAGTTGATGCAATACCTCATACATTCTTGGGAGGAATGAATTTTACTTTTATATCTCTTGACAAGCAGCATGAAATGAGTTGCTTGTCAGAAACCACACCTCTGTCAACCAAGTCAAAAAAGGAAACAGGAAAAAAACAGGGAGGCCAAAGACAAGCAAATAAAGCAAATATTAATGCAAACACAATGGATTTGTAAAATCCTCCAGAGGATAGCAAGATAAAGCAATGAAAGGTGAGAAATGCAACTGTGATATTGCTGGAAGGAAAGTGTAAGCTTGCTTCCACTGCCCCAGTGCTCTTTGAAAGGAAACCACAAGCCTTTTCCTCAACAACCAAAAATTAGGAGACTCTTACCACCACAAAAAAGCCCACTATGGTCGTTTGACCCAGGCTGGATGCCCAGGAGCTGACCACAGCCTCTCTGCCAGCCCCTTCCTCAGCTGAACAGGGGAGAGGAAACATCACAAAAGGCTTGTGGGAAAAGGTGAGGACATGGAAAGGTCACTGACCAATTACTGTCATGAGCAAAAGGGTCTCGGTTTGGGCAGAAAAATAATTCGTTACCAATGAAATCAGAGTAGAATAATGCAAAATAAAAACTTCATTTCAAAACACCCCTCCTCTCCTCCCAGACTCAACTTCACTCCCAATTTTCTCTACCAGTTGGGGGTTGCAGGGGGGATGGGCTAGAGTGCTTGCAGTCATTTCTGCACATTGCATCTGACCCTGCTGCCTCCTCATTCCCTTTCTTTCCTCAGGGAAGACTCCTCACGCTCTAACCCTGCTCCAGCATGGGGTGCCCCCCACCAGGGAGTCTACCATGAACTGCTCCAACATGGGTGTCTCCTCCACGGTGACCTCCATGGGCCCAGGGGCACAGCTGTGTCACCATGGGCTGTGGGTGACAGCCATGGTGTCACCCACCATGACACCTGGCACCTGGAGCACATCCTGCCTCCCCCTTCTCTGCTGGCCTTGGTGTTTGCAGCTATATTCGCATCCCCCTCTTCCAGCTGCTCTTGTATGGATTCCTTCCTCCCCCTCCTAAATCTGTTATTCCAGATCTCTGTCTCTGGTGAGGTCACCCTTGGCTGGCCGTGGGTGTGTCCTGGAGCTGGCTGGCATTGGCTCTAGTGGACATGGGAAAGCTTCCAGCAGCTTCTTGCAGAAACCACTGCTGTAGCTCCCCATGACCAAAGACACACAAACCCAATATACCAAGAAATAACCATACATTTAAAAAGGAGAGTCCACAACCGATTGAAAGCTGGCGAGGCAGTGGAGGTCAGAGGTGGAGCAGGCACACACCAGCAGCAGCTCTGCGTGAGGGACAGACCCGGCTGGGCTGTGCCAGCCCAGGCTCCGCAGCCTCTGCTGGAGGAGCTGCCGGGGCAGGCCCTGTCTCTCCATTGAACTGACTGGGTGACGACAGTGACACTGGAAACTGACACTGGGAACTGAAAGTGACGACAAGTGTATTTTTATATGTATATATGCATATTTACAGACACGCGGCTTTTTTAACGCCACACTCTTTTCTACACAGAATTGTAAGGGTTGGCAGGGACCTGTGGGGGTAATACAGTCCATCCCCCAGCCGAGATAGGGTCACCCAGAGCAAGTGACAAAGGAACGTGTCCAGATGGGTTTGCAATGTCTCCAAATGCCTCTCTCCAGAGATGGAGACTCCACAACCTCCTTGGGTGGCCCCTTCCAGTGCTCTGCCACCCTCCACAGGAAGAAGTTCTTCCTCATATCGAGGTGGAAATTCCTCTGTTGTGGTTTATGGCCCTTGCTCCTCCTGTCACCAGGCACAACTGAAAAGAGGCCGGCACCATCCTCCTTTGAGACATTTAAATATATTGATAAAACCCCTCTCAATCTCCTCCGGACTAAACAGGCCCAGCTACCGCAGTCTCTCGTCACAAGCGAGATGCTCCAGACCCCACACCGTCCTTGCGGCCCTTGGTGCAGCTCAGCACGGACAATTTAGCCCAAAGCGCTCCCACCCCGGCGGTACCTGCACGCCCTCCGCCATGGCCGCCGGGCCCGCCCCTAACGGCGCCCCGCCCGCGCTCCCCTCAGAGCCCGGCCCGCCCCTCACGGCCGCGTGGCCCGGCCCAGCGCGTGCCGTTTCTATTTAACGGACTCGGAGCAGTAGCGAACTAAAACTACATCGAAACATTTTCTCTGTCAGCTTTGTATTGCACGCAGCAACAGTAATTCACAGTAATAGCATTTACCCGCAATATCAAATAAAATGCAAACATTTGGTAGGTGAACAGTAAAAAGAACAAAGAGCGAAATAACTTACTTTGCAAAGTTTATGGATGTGCTGAGGGAGCTGGTATGACAAAACAACTTCCTTGCAGCGCCTCACATAAAGCAAAGGCCTCCCGGGATTTTCTGCAGCTGTTTCAAGCTGTGCCACTGCTTTGGAGCAGTTTGCCACCTTCAGAAGGTTGTCATCCGCAGTTTCTTAAAATGTGCAAACCACAAAGTACAGTACCTGTGTCCTAGCTGAGGCACAGGAGACAAGAACATGCCCATTACCCACTAAGATTGTGATGTATAGTGTGAGATTCAACACGTCTGTAGCTCCTGTTCTGCTCAAACACCCTGACCCTCACTGACACAGGTAGACCAATCGCGTTTCCAAAAGGAGTCAGAAATCTTTGAGGTTCAGAGAGCTGGATCCTGCAGTGTTTTGTAGAATTATTCATAGTATTTTAAAGAAATAGAGCCCATACTGTGAATTTTAAAGAAATAGAGCCCACACTGTGAATTCCTACAATTTGTGCTGTGCTCTGCGGCTGATAGCTGCACAGTTGTGTTACTGCACCTTTTACAGTGTATATAAATATAATCAAATAAGAACATTATTCAGAGCTGCAAGCACGGCACGTAGTAAGGTGTTAAAACTGGGGAATTAAGTGGATGCAATGCAAGATTGTGTACATTCATTATTATGTTATCTAGTTGGTAACAGGTAGATTCTTGACTTCACCCTGCACTCCTCTGGAACTGAAAATGCCCATTGACTTCCATGAACATTTTCAATGTTAAAGACTTGGGGGCTTAAAGCCTTTAGAAAGAGCTAATTCTGTTTCTCTTACTCAGTATAAAAGGATTGAATTCTTTCTTACACAAAACCTGAACTGAGCAGGTGATTGAAGCTGAGTGCTGATTGAAGCTCAAACCACATTTCCAGTTGAGAGCTCCTAAACTTCCTACTTTTCAATTTAGATTTTTAGATAGCTGGTGTCAGAAGGCTTAGAAATAGAAAAAAGGATTCAACAGTCACATCAAACCATGCCATCTAATTTCATGTGGATCCTTCACGTTTACAAAACCACATTCATGTGTATGTGAATATTTAAGGTGGCTTTTTGATTTCCTTCAAATGCAAAACTTCTAAGTGCAACACAGAAATACTAAACTTAAAATGCTGACGTAGTCCTTTCCTACTACAGGTAGCCATGGTAGATTTTCATATGATTTCTAATCATCAAAGAGACCCAGGTTAGAGAACAGCAGAGCTCCTTCTCCACTGGTGCAGTTCTGTTAGATGTAAAGGTTTCCTGAAAGTGTCTGTTATTTAATATTTAAAATATGTTATTTAAGCAGAACATATTTGAAAGTCTGGCTTTACACCGTAAGTGCTCTTCTATTTGTCTGAGAAGCAATCAGAGCTAAGGTTTGGGAGAGGCTCTGCCAAGATTGGTATCACTCAGAACATGAGCATCGTGGAAGGCACACTTCTTTATTGTCTCTCTTTGATTAAAGCTCTTCAGCTCATGGTGCCTAGGTCACCTCTAGCCTATACAAGATAACCACCACACAGCCCACTAACACTCAGCCCTGGCAGGGGCTGGGCAAAGAGCTGGTTGTTCCCCTTAATTTTCAAGTAGCCAAATTTTCATTTTGCTAATTATGCACTGAAACATCACCAATATGGCAATTCCACACTGCTCTCTGCACAATGAACTACACAGCTATCTTTGTAGAAATATCTTCCTCTTCATCACAATACTCCATCTTTTGGGCAAGGAGCAGGTTCTCCTGCATCACACAAGTCCATGTCAAAAGGGAAATAAAGGTCGCAGCTGCAAGCAAAGCTTTGATAGTGCAGGCCACCTGCAATTGGAACACATCCAGCAGCTGCAAGTGCTCCAAAATATTCCAACAAGTCTTCCAAAGTTTTAGTAGCCAAGGTGATTCAGTCTGATTTTGTTACTTATTGCAGAGATCCTGGCATTTCAGGAATAAATGAAACTTACTTATTTAAGAAAAGGAATGAATTTTCAGAAGTTGCCTTTTACAAAGCAAAGGTTTTTTAACACAAAACAGGCCCACAGAAACATCCTCCTATTGACAGAGATCCTATAAAAATGTTCAATTGCAAACACGTTTCCAGTCACTTTTAGTTAAGCATCACCAAGCAGAGTAATTAGCCATAGGCAAATTCAGCATGAAAAGCAGGCAGAAATTCCTAGCAGAGCCTTGCTTGTTACATCAACATCAGATGGACATATAGCTCTCCTGGCTGCCAGCCCTTATGACAACAAATTGCTTATACTCATGCCCTGTGGTACAAGAATTGAGAAGAAACCACAGGCATATGTGGAGGACTTGCACACAGTATTTGGGTTTGACCCTCCCAGTATCCAACGGGTAATTTGTGAAAGCAACAGGACATTAGTGCTACGTGACTCTTAATAAAGAGCCCTGCATTACTGTGCATAAATGCATTACCACAGTAATTAATCATCCCCTCCTGGCTCCTTTATAACATTCTTTGCAGATATTCTATCCAGGAAACAGCATTCCCTCTAGGTAATGTTCTTCTGTTTTACATATATAGATACACACCTTCAGAAAAAAATTCTGGACATGATTATGTACTAGGAAAAGAAAAACATAAATCCCAGGTTGTCAGGGAAACTTGTTTTTAAAACAAAAAGATGATTCTGCCATTTCTCAGGCAGTATCCAATTAAAATGAGATACAGGTATGAGAGGATACCTGCTTTGGTGTATCAGCAGCAGGACAGACAGAGTTCTGAGTTACCTGGGGACAGATGCTGCTTCTTTTTTGCTCACTGTCAACACAATCCAGCTCAGTACCTCTCCCTGCCTGTTTAATTAATAGGGAGGCAAAATTTCCATGTGATTTAACAGTGATTTTGAGACTTGTAAAGTTAGTACTCTGCCCAGCAATAACAAAGTCCAAGTTAAATGGAGCAAATGATAACTTTTCAATTATTCAAAACAATATGAAACAATATGCATACAAAGAAATGAAAGTAGTAAAATGTGTATTCTATCAATGATTCCTTTATCTTCTCACCATAAAGAGAAGTGGCCCAATGTAGGATAAAAGCAAATTTTAGATGGATTCTCTTCTTGATCATAGCCAGAAGACAGCTATATCTATTGCCAAGAAATTAATCGAGTTCATAGAAATCCTAAAAATTAGATAGAAAAGACTTATAAGAACATGTAACCCATCTCCAGGGGACCTGTACTTTTTTTGCCAACAAGAACTTCAAGCAGAAATAGGAATTTATTTAAGCCAGTAGTTCAAGACAGCTCCTTACTGTGTATTGAACTGTAGAAATAATGTAAATGTGTGTATAACATTGCAGTTCACCATCGGTGTGAACTAAGAAAGCTTAGGTTTTTCTCCCCTCTGAACACCTCTTAGTACAAAAACCCAAACTATGACACCTGCTGCATAAGATAAAGCAATATGCATAATTTAGAGCATAGCTATTTCAAACTACCTACCCTCAAGGTCATCAATTGATAAAACAAAACCCAAAATCTCTAGAATTCAAGAACTCTTCATAGTTATTATTCAAACAAGAACAATCCACTCAGAAGTCCCAAATTCAAGACAAGAGACAAAAAGAAGAGCCCATTGAGTGCCTCTAAGTCCCCTAAGTCTTATACAGCCACAAGTACACGGTGACAATGGACAAATAATTTATCATAAGGTTAGTGCAGGGGTTTGGGTTTGATGAGAGAATTGTTTCATTGGCAGAGAGCTGCATTCTTCAGGAGGACATGTTGTGCAGTACAGAATTTGCTAATTAATGTAGCGATGAAAATCACCAGAAAGAATAATTTAACAAGTTATAATTGCAAATAGAAATAAAACTTGTAAAATACAGGAGTATGTATATTCATATTCTATATAAAATGTTACATATTAAACACATACTCAAGTATTGGTACTATATAATACACATGTATATCTTCTCTCTTCAGACAGCCATTTCAGCTCAGATTCCCATCTACTCTGTATCTTTTCTAAAGACATAAACTACTGCTAATCTTGGCAAGTTCACAGGAACTGGAGGATATTTTACTCCATGAGAAAGATGAGGCATTAATCTCCTGGGAAAACTCTCTTGAAATTTCATTTTGATAGACAAAACTTGACTTTTCCATTTGAACTGCTATTTCATTCTGTTGGCAGACCAAAGAAGATAGAAAGGCACAACTACATGAAGAATTACATCTTAGTAACACAGCAAAGTCTACAGAAAAAATATAAATTCATTGATTCCATTGTCCTTGCCCTTTTGCCCCCAAATGGGAACATAATTTCTTTCATAGGTTTCATATTTTACTCCTTTCATGCCTCTGTTGTGAAGCTCTATTGATTTTTTGCCACCTTCTCCATGTGATGTTAACCAGCTTTTAGAATAACATATAACAATTTAGGGCAGCAAGTGAAAAAATACATCCAGCGGAAATTACAGGGGGATTTTAATAGAGAGACTGTAGTTACTCAAGACTTGAATTGTCTTGTATACTAAAGCTAACTGTATTTTTTATTTATTTGTGAATTGTTTGTTTGCTGGACTACACAAACAGCTTCCAAGGTTTTTCAATATTTCTTTAGTTATTTAATAAGGACTGGCAAGCCTGAATTACTGGGACATAATTACATCATATTTAAGTGATGTCTTGGACTAGGATCCCACCTACAGCAGCAACACCTGGAGAGTCAGTATGACAAATGAGTCTCCATTTTACAGAAAGAGGCCTGTCCAAGAGAA